AACAAGCGGGGAGACTTAGTGAGGAGTTGTGAGCATGTTGATATGGCTGCAGTGTCGGAGGCCTGGCTTTCTTCAAACGACCTTATTAACGATCTGCTTGTTGACTTCGCGAACTAGAGAGTTGATACGCCTTGGCAACTGACAGGTGGAGAAATCCTCTTGCTTATAAAGTTCCCATATAAGCACTGTGAGGCTCCATTTATTATGAGTTCTGCGAACGTTCTGGTAATATCCTGCTTTTTAAGTGTGCTTTGGATTGGAGTTTATGGTATGTGTCTATCTGAATACTGCGAATTGTTTTTACCAGTGTGCGCGTGTTCTGCTTGGTGCGCGGACGTGCAGCAACGGCTTCAGCATAGGAAAGTGGCCCTGGTGCAGTATCTGGTGCGTCCTAATGAGATCAACTGGAAGCCGACGATATGACAGGGTATAAAGCCCTGTTCTCCTACATCGGTCCTCGTAAGACACCCCGTAAACTGTGGATGAGCCGCGTAGCTACATGCTTGACCCGTTCCATTCTCTACACCTCGCCTATTGTGATTGTGCAATAGGTGGATGATCCGTACACAAGCACCGGTCTTGTTATGCAAGAGAACAGATGGGTGGCAATGTCTTCAGACCAAGTGCAGAAGCTGCATCTAAGTGCCTAAAGCAAGCGTAATCCGTTTGCGTACTGTCTGTTCGTGTTGTTGACAGACTTCAAATCACAGCATGAGAGTACGCCTATATCCTTTACAGAACTAGTGTGAGACAGCGGGTGGCCAGCCAGGGTGTACGCACGCCAATTACTACCCCTCCCTAGTCTAATAAACGAAAACCTGGCCGCGTTGACCGGTAGGTCAGCTTCTGCAGACCACTGGTATAGGCGGTCTATGTCCTGTTGAAGGATGTCCCAGTCGCCGGGAAAATTAATAATCTCCCATATCTTCAGGTCATCCGCAGATAATACGCATGGCGACCGAAGAAGCTGGTGTACTTCGCTGATGTGGATCAGGAATAAAGTGCGCCCCCAGTACTGTGCTTTGCGGGGCGCCGCTAGTGGACGGGTACCATCCTGTTAGGTGGTCATCCACCTGGACCCGCCATCTTCTTCCAACAAGGAATTCACTGATTCGCTGGTGCAGTACGCCACCAATACCACACATCTTCAGCTTGTGTAGCAGGACCTCATGGTTCCTTTTATCGAAAGCTTTACTGAAATCAATGTAGATGACATCCACTGACTTTCCCCGATTCAACGCTTGCAATCATTTCTGCCGCGACAACAGCGGGTCGGAAATACACGAGCGACCCTTCCTGAGGCCATGCTGTGACGGCGTTAGATCTTTCGACTGCAGCAGCTGGAGTAGACCCTTTTCACCATCTTCTCAAGCACCTTCGCCAACACGGAGGTGCGAACTCGGCCGTTAATTGTACACATTGCATGGGTTATAACCTTTTGGAATCGGCTTCACTACCGAACATTTTCATTCGCTTGGTAATGCACCCTCGAACAGCGATCTGCTGAACAGATCTGTCACGACCGGTGAGATGATATCCAATTGGGAGTTAAGAATTAGAGGTGTAGTCCATCGGGTCCGACAAGTGTTGTGCCATCAAGACTGGTGAGTAAACTGCGGATATCACCACAATCAAGCCTCTCGAGTTCAGTAGCGGTCGAAAACGTCGTGGTCGGCATTATCGCATGGCCACTTGTTAGTACGGAAGCGAAGTGCTTCGCCAATGCGGACGCACTTTCAGTGCTGGAGGTCAGAGGCTGTCCGTCAGTACCCTATAACATAGCTACGTCGCTTGCCGGCCTCAGGCGCTGCTTCACGCAAGCAAAAATTTTTTTGGTGGCCGTGTTAACTGAGGTTGCAAACTCTTCTTCGGACTGCTGACGCTTTTGCGCTGTTGCATAGATTCCGCTGCCTTTTGTGCGCCTCATAATTATCGGCAGAACCAGAGACCAAGAATTTACTCCACAATTCGCGTCACCATCGAGCCAAATGACTATAATCTCGGTCGAACCAATGTGACTTCACTGGTCCAGCTTTCTGTTACTTGAGGGGTACAAAACGAGCGCACAACGATTGTATACCCTCTTTTATAACAAACCAACAGGTTTCAGCAGACGAATCCTGCGGCAACAACCAGTCTACTTTACTGGTGGCTCGATTTAGTCCATTAAAGTCGCTCTCCCAATAATTGTAGAACGGCTCCGGCAATCGCGAGTGGGGCAGCGGCAGCTCTAGGCTGGCTAACACCATCGAGTTGTCACTAGCTGCCAAAGGCTCCAGGACCTGAATTTCATGTACACGTTGCTTTCTTGATACATGCGTCACACTCTTTATCGTACGTTTTCTGTAAACGACCACTAGGAAACCTATTTACATTTCTTTTCAGCTTGGGATTCCACCAATTTCTTGATCACTGAGCCCCGAGATCATTTTCATAGAAACGACCGAAAACAACAGTTCCCCAACGGCTTACTTGACACCTGGATTTCAAGTTCACGAACCGAGCTATTGTAACTACATGGGGTGTGCCCATCGCTGCATCTCATGAACTGCAGTGTGCTTTGCCCCAACTCGTATCTCGTCTATCATTGAAAATGTGCCAACTTTCAGTCTTCTGTGTGCAACTTCTGATGGCAACTGGATTACATAATATATGATGACAGATTGAATTAAATTACTTCAGATCAGCAGTGCGGTTACGTTTAATAATTTCAAGCACATTCAAAGGTGAGCCGGTCGTAACTTCTTAAACCTGTTTCTGGTTCTGTCTGAAATATCGGTCGTCTCATTTAGCCCCTAGTGCCTTGATAATGGTTAATCTGAGTGTAACGATCATTGGTAGGATGTATTCTCTTTGACCGAATGGGTTTAAGCATGCGAAACAGGCGCTTTTACCTGGTCATGTTATCCATCAGTATGGTTGTATGCTTCAAATGATACGGATCTGCCACTGTGCTCAGTTACATTTACATTAGCATGGTGCACTGCGGTTCTGAAGGACCTAAAATCCTTCTTTAGTGATGGTTTCTGAAACTCATGCTTTACTTGAGGCTGAATTTGAATTGCACATTGAACCAAGACGACATGTAGCTTAGGATTCGCGGCAGGTGTCTGTTACGTTATCTAGTTTGCTTCGTTTGCGATAAGTTCATGCTCAGTTTAGCCACTTATGAAAGCCCGCATTTGGAACCTTGGCGTTCCTTTGATTTCGGTTCACCGTGAAACCCCGCATTCGTTAACAAGACCACGAACATAGAGGCGTTTTTTGTCCGGTGGTGTTTGATTACGTTTTTAAGTTTGGTATTTCTTCGATAAGTCACCCATATGAGAGCTTCACATCCGCGCTTGTTATCTTCTGTATCCGGCTGCTTTTCTTTAATAACTTTTTATACCGGCAGCAAGAATCCATTTTGGTAACCGTGCATTTGTGTTATGAATTCATCACTAACGGTGCGCTCATGAAATGTTTGTCCTTCGCGATATTTGCTGTTGACTCAGCGCCAATGCATGTTAGTTTATCACCTCAGTTTAGCATCAGTGCCTGTAGTGAATTCTTTAGTTTAGCCCAGACTTGTCACTGTCATGTTATCGGTGGTTGATCCTAGCTGAGCTCTTTTGGCATCGATGGAACTGGTGTGGACCGATTGTTTATGTTGTCAGGAAATATTAACAGAGTAAATTTTTGCTTATCTGTTAAGTACGTGAGAAGCGCATTATAGCGGTGTGGAAGATTGCGAATGATGTTGTGTATTAGTTGAGTCCACGGTTTTGTTACAGGTCGTGGTGCTACACAGTTGCCGAGGAGGAACTTCGAAGTTAAGTTCAGGTGAGATCACCACTTTGCTGAACAGCATGTCAACAAGGCAACGGAACGAATTCGGGTATCCGCGGCAATCGGGAGCCGGTGATTGGTTACTCAGTTGATGCGTTTTATGTTTCGTTACCTATCAAACAGTGCTGCGCACTGGCCATAGGCCCCATGACGAACAAAGTAGGTCAAGGTCCAACGTGCCAAGCTTGCACACGTCCGGTTCGGAGCGGACTATTTATACAATTCATCGATCGGCGTCAGAGACCTAGTCGGAGACTAGCGGAGGAGAGGAGTGGAGATTTGTCAAGTTTTTGGTTATCGTTTAGCGGTCAGATGGTCGCCAGCCAAGCTTAGGACCCTAGGTAGAAGGCATTAGTATGGTGAAAGATTTAATGCAAAAAGGTTGGAAATCGAAGGACAGTACTGGTGTATAATCCGCTGCAGGGTTCAACAGAGTTGGCAGCGGTCCAGACATTGAGTGTGCTAGCAATGTTTCTGTATCCATCTTGGGGTCCGATGAGTGTGAGGGTGAGTTGTGTTTCCAGTAGGACATGTCCCATCATCCGAACAATATCTTCGGATGTGGATACTGGTTCAATGTATGGGAGAAATAGGAATATGGGGTTGATGGTGTGATTGGAAATGCCAAATGCGTAGGAGGAGGTAACGTCAGTAGGGGGCTCAGTAGGGACTGTTTGTGAGGGACCGTTTTGTTTCCAGAACGGTTTGATGTATTGCGATAGTAGTCTCCAGTCATAAATCGGTATCCGTTGGAGACAGGTTGTGGTGTTCTGATGAGGAATCGGGAGTGGGAGTCGAAGTCGTACCATTTAAAGTATACTTCGTTGGCAGATAGTGTTTAGACGTTGTTACAGGCAAGGAGACCTTGGTCGTAGGAGAACTGCCAGTAGGTGATTGAGGGTACCTTGCAAGCCTGGTTGAGTAGGGCTGCTTCTGTAACGTTAGTAGGGACAGTGTTGAGGAGTCCGGAGTCGTCTTCCGCTATATACATGTAGGGGGCACTGTTGAAAGCGGTAACATCGGTGGCGGTGGAGCGTTGGAGGGATTTCTGCAGCGGTATGTAATGTGAAAGGCGCACAGTAGCATGATCGAAAGTGCACATAGGAAATGCGTTTCGTAGGGTGGCGAATGGTTCAACGTGTTGTTGGTGGGATTGAAGACTTCAGAACTCAAATACGGATAGGGGTAGACATGTGATAGAGTGTGTCAGAGGTGTCTGCAGGTTTGTATTGGTTGATGATGAGGTGTTGTTTGCGTGTGATGGTGATTGTGGTAGTGTTGTATAATGGTCGAAGGAGGCGGATCCGTTTAGCACTAGAGGGGGTAGTGTTGGCCGTGGCATCATTCTCTGTTGTTGAGTCGCGGCCATACGCGGCCATACCAAGAGGCAAAGTGACAGGCGCAGAGAGTGATTCGTGGTTGTGGTAGTTCCGGCGTGCCGACTTGAACAGTGAACTTTTACATGTGGCATCGAGCATATATAGCAGCTGCGTCGATGGGGGGTGATGTATGTATTGAGGCTGTGATTGGTGGAAAGGAGCGCAAGTAGACGACGTAGGCGTACATCTGGTGAGTGCTTCACGTGTATGTCAAAGGGCGTGCGTCCTAGGAGCTCATTAAAGTCTTGGACCGTCTGGATGGTGATGCGGGGTTCTTCCATTAGAGCAACGGATTTGTCTAGGAGATTTTGTAAGAAGAACTGGGAATGGTCCCCGGAGCGTTGTACAGTACCAAATTGGTGGTTTTGGCATATCATCTTGAGGAAGAGGCTTTTCCCTGTTGTAGTAGGCCCTTCGATGCATAGAGTGTTGACACGGTCGAGCTTCTTATTCATGAGGTTGTGGATAGACATACAAAAGGTGTGTTTGTCCATGTGATTGATGCGCAAGAGGTCGTCGAAGAATGTGGTGTCAGTGTGTGTGGGGCGAGTACAGGTGTCTTGATGATTGTTCTGTTGGATATGGTCCTCGAATGGCATAGAGGCTTGATGCGATAGTAGTTCTTCATTGTATACCTCAATACACTGCTTGGCCGTCTCTTCCCATTGAATGCCAAATTCTGTGTATAGAGTAAGTCGTTGGTTACGAGTAAGTCGGGTCTTTAGGTCTTTGATGTGTGTGGCATGATGTGCCTCGATAAGATCCATTAGGAGATTGACGCGTTTTAAACGGTTAACGTTCTGATGTTGAATACGCCTGGAATCACGGTTAAGTTGGGCACAATCCCTTTTGTCTACCGGTGTTAGAGCAAATGATCTGCAAAGTGTTGTAGTTTTTCTCCTCGTACCTAAACATGATACCCGGTACGAGCAAGGTATGGCGCGAACTTGTACCAGTCTATAACGGGTTGTGTGGTTGCTAGGATGTCCAACATGTATGAAGACGGTGTACTGAGGGCCTGAAGGATACGCTGGAGAGATCGGTTACGGTTTTGGGTAAGGCATTGAAAGACAACGTGGTAGTGATCATCATGATGTAATAGGATAGCATTAATACGGTGACTTAATGATGGTAGGTTCAGGACCGCGGTAGATGAATGTCCACAAATTGTCTGTAGTGTTGATCTTTTGATGGATGCTTTGGAGAAATCTGTCGTCTTCTTTAGCGTTCTGTGTCACGTCTTGTAGTAGATCATCGTCGATGGGTGTGATGGCCCTCGGTAGTGTGTTTAGCATGTCTTCCAGTTCGTCGGAACGTATAGGTGAAACAGGCTCTGGACTGGTGCTTTGTACTGGTAGTTGGTCCTGGAATATCGTCAATCATAAGACTCTTCTTGTGTGGTAGACTTACATCCAGGTCTACGTCTTGGTGTTCTCTAGCTCTTTTCAGTACGTGTTTAATGGCTTCAACGTGTTGTGCGATCTTGGTTGATTTAAGTACTAGCGTCTCGATGCCAGTGGCTTGCATCTCATTATACCAAGTGTTGTACAAATCGGGATCCTGTATGCGCAGTCTTTCACTCATAGCCCAGTGTGGATACGATAGTATAACATTGGACTTGTTCATCTGGTCTTTGTATATTTCAAACTTTTCCTTGAACGACTGTCTCTTGTCTTTATGCTACTCGTCCAGATTGGCAGTCTTCTTTCTGATGGCTTCAAACTTAGCAATCTGCTTTTGGATGAACGGCATGATCGGAGGACCGGAGTGGAATATTGGTAACTTGTCAGGTATCGATCCGTGTAGCGAGAGTGATGGTCGTGCCAATAGCGATGGTTGTCTTAGCGTGGTACACGCTTGCTTATGTACTCTAAAGAAGCACCTGCTCACCCGCTAAAAGTTTGGTAAACTCCACTCCGCTACTCCGATAAACAAGTTTGTTGTGGTTTTACTCCACGGCAACAATTTTTCTTATTCTCCTCTCCTACTCCGCCACTCCTATACTCCGATAAAGTATGCAGAGAGTCGGAGTGGAAGTTGACCTATTTTGTCCGTCATGGGGCCTATGGCCAGTGCGCAGCACCCGAAGGTTGCATAGCTCCCCGCCTCAACAGCCGTGTCGGGTGGGGTTCTTGTAATTTTGACCATGACTCAAAAAGTGGTTTACCTGTCTGACTTTGCAACCTCTGGTTATTGCAAAGCAAGCAAAGCCAGACATGTATACTACCTTTTGAGTCATGGCCAAAATTTCAAGAACCCCACCAGACACGGCCGCTGAGGCGGGGAGCTATGCAATAACCGTAGGTTGTATAGCTGACATGTAAAAATTTTGGATCATCCATCCGGAAAAGATCCGTTAGGAAACGACAATATAGGGTTATTTTTATAGTGAGAATCAAAACTTTGTTACTTTTACTTTGGAAGGAAGGATGGGAAACCTAAAAAAAATTTTGAATTCCGTTCCTGACCTCCGGTGTTTACGTTGTCTTACATTTTTTCTTCTTTATTTTTAGTAACCTCGCTGAGGACGCAAGGAAGTGGATTAAGAGAAAGTGCTTGGGACCTTCAGCTAAGCCAATCAGATAACAAACCAATCAAAGAATCACATGTTTACCTTGTGTAACCAATCAGACAGGTACACCTTGACTTTCAACCTATAAATAAAGCCTTCTTCGTCTCTTGTCTACCATTACCATGCCTGTCACCAGCAATCAAGTTCGACGCTTTTACGCTATTCAGAAGATGAAGGAGATTTCAATACCTTTACCACCTTCTCTCGCTACCTTGTCATTTGAAGAGCGATACCAAATCTTCAAAGCTGATTTACCCAAATTCAACTTTCCGATGAGCTATCCGCATTGGATTCAATCTGAGAAGCGAAGGCATTACAATCCAACGGCTTACGATTCATGGTTAGATTTGTGTACTTTAACACAAGAGTTTGAGTCTGTTCCATCCATCACCGTTCCCGAAGAAATCTCTTCACGAAAAAGACCAGCATCTCCCGAGACACTACACAAAACACCCGAACTCGCGCACATGGAACCATCCACCTCCAGGAGAAGACCAGCATCTCCCAAGTGCCCAAGCTCACTCACTTTATTGATGACATTTTGGCTACACCATTCATGTCTCAACTTCCCGAAGTTGACTTGGACTTTGATCCAATTACACCGGTCCAACTAGAAAACATGCTAACAGCAACAGCAACTGCTGAAGACATACCTGCTGAACAAACCGGTTTAGATACCGATACCTTATTCGAAACGGTAAAGTCAGAATTTAATACTGATAGTAAACTATGGACCTTCATTTACCGAGGCCCTTCACCTGTTTTTATTAAAGGGACTCATGTCAACGCACTCATAATACACCATTCTGATCATTATCATTTCGTTTTCCAATCTACGCCTACCAACCGTAACAGGTCACCACAGCGTTTACTCAAAGCTTGCTCCATACCAGACAGCTTCACGTTTGATATCCTAACGACTATTCAACCCGTCATTGACTGGGATAAGTTGGCCGTTTACCTTTCTCGCACAGGCTACACCGTTCAGCTATTAGGTAAAAAGTTTCAAGGCTTGGCAGACCAAATCGCTTTAACACCACCTGACCAGAAGGATTGTGCTACATTAAACAGAGAGTCGCGTAAACAGATGCACGCAAACATCAACAGAGGGAAACGGATCGATCTCATAATGGATCTTATTGAAACATACCATTCTACACATATTAAACATCTGAAAATAGTCGTTAGGATATCAAACGTGAAGCTGTCTGGTATGGAGCAAGCTTTGAGTAAACGCTGTAGTGACCTGTTACGGTTGGTAGGCGTAGATTGGAAAACGAAATGATAATGATCAGAATGGTGTATTATGAGTGCGTTGACATGAGTCCCTTTAATAAAAACAGGTGGAGGGCCTCGGTAAATGAAGGTCCATAGTTTACTATCAGTATTAAATTCTGACTTTACCGTTTCGAATAAGGTATCGGTATCTAAACCGGTTTGTTCAGCAGGTATGTCTTCAGCAGTTGCTGTTGCTGAGCATGTTTTCTAGTTGGACCGGTGTAATTGGTTCAAAGTCCAAGTCAACTTCGGGAAGTTGAGACATGAATGGTGTAGCCAAAATGTCATCAATAAAGTGAGTGAGCTTGGGCATCTCGGGAGATGCTGGTCTTCTCCTGGAGGTGGATGGTTCCATGTGCGCGAGTTCAGGTGTTTTGTGTTTTGGCTCGGGAGATGCTGGTCTTTTTCGTGAAGAGATTTCTTCGGGAACGGTGATGGATGGAACAGACTCAAACTCTTGTGTTGAAGTACATAAATCTAACCATGAATCGTAAGCCGTTGGATTGTAATGCCTTCGCTTCTCAGATTGAATCCAATGCGGATAGCTCATCGGAAAGTTGAATTTGGGTAAATCAGCTTTGAAGATTTGGTATCGCTCTTCAAATGACAAGGTAGCGAGAGAAGGTGGTAAAGGTATTGAAATCTCCTTCATCTTCTGAATAGCGTAAAAGCGTCGAACTTGATTGCTGGTGACAGGCATGGTAATGGTAGATAAGAGACGAAGAAGGCTTTATTTATAGGTTGAAAGTCAAGGTGTACCTGTCTGATTGGTTACACAAGGTAAACGTGTGATTCTTCTATTGGTTTGTTATCTGATTGGTTTAGCTGAAGGTCCCAAGAAATTTCTCTTAATCCACTTCCTTGCGTCCTCAGCGAGGTTACTAAAAATAAAGAAGAAAACATGTAAAACAACGTAAACACCGGAGGTCAGGAACGGAATTCAAAATTTTTTTTAGGTTTCCCATCCTTCCTTCCAAAGTAAAAGTAACAAAGTATTGATCCTCACTATAAAAATAACCCTATATTGTCCTTTCCTAACGGATCTTTTCCGGATGGATGATCCAAAAATTTTTTTACATGTCAGCTATGCAACCTACGGTTATTGCATAGCAAGCAAAGCCAGACATGTAAACAAAATTTTGAATCATCCATCTGGAAAAGATCCGTTAGGAAAGGACAATATAGGGTTATTTTTATAGTGAGGATCAATACTTCGTTACCTTTACTTTGGCAGGACGTATGGTGCTCTGCACGGACCATAGGTCCCCGTTACCAGCACAGCTTAAAATTTCGAAAGCAATTAACAATCCACAATTGCCAAGTTGCTCCGCAACTGCTGCGGAGCGGACTGGCACTTAAACATCATTTGGAATCGGAGGAGTGGAGGTATTAAAATGAAAAGTTTTTAGCGGTCGAGTGATTGCTAGCCATGTGACGTTTCTAGTGGAAAAGGCATGTGGTTGTAAGAATAATTTATGCATAACGACGAAAGGTAGGGAACAGTAGAGCGGTATCGGTGTATAGACCGAAGCGTAATTTTACAGTGTTGGCAGAGAGCCATTTTTCTTCATTGTTACCTAGAAACTGGAATCCGTCTTGCAGGGTGTGTAGGGTCATGTGGAGTTGGGTTTCCAAGAGGACATGTCCCATCATACGGATGACGTCTTCAGATGTGGAGACGGGTTTAATGTATGGGAGAAAAAGGAAAATGGGGTTCATGGTGTGATGATAAATGCCATAGGAGTGGGATAGTTGTACAGGAAGTTGGGGATCAGAGGGTGCGATGATGTCTGGTTGGGGTACTTCGTAGAGAGGTTTGATTGGGTAAGGGGATGTACTTGTGTGGTAATCTCTGGGCATGTAATTGTATCCTTGAGAAACTCCTGTGGGTGTTCGTATGAAGTACCGTGGATGTTGTTCAAAGGAAAAATGTTTGAAGTAGACATCTTTGGCAGATAGGGTTTCAACTTTGTTGCAGGCGCGGAGACCCATATCGGAAGCGTTTTGCCAATAACGGTTTGACTTGACAGGGGCATTTTGATTGATGAGCGCTTGTTCATTAACAGTTGTGGAAATTTGATTCAGATAACCGTCGTCATCCGTGGCGATGTATATGGTGCGGTATTGAACGCAGTAATGTCCGTAGCAGTGGTACTTTGTAGGGATTTTTGTAGGGGGATGTGATGGGATATGCGATGAGTAGCACGATCGAAGGTACACAGTGGAAAGTATTGTCTGAGAGCACCGAAGTTTTCCGCAAAGGTTTGATCTGCTGCAAGATACCAAAACTCGAACGTGGATGTTGGTAGGCATGTAATAGCGTAGATGTCGGTGTTGTCTCCTGGTTTGTACTGGTTGATGGTGATGTGCTGCGTTCGTGTGATGGTTACAGGTATTGAGTAGTATCGGGATCGCAGTAGTCGTAGGCTTCTTGAGGTGGACTGTCCAGTTTCATCGGGAAGCTCATCCTCGTTCGTCGTCGAATCGACCTGCATGAGTTCGCCACCAGGAGGAGTACCAGTGCGCAAAGTGGCAGGCGCATAAAATGGAAGGGGTTCTGGTAGCTCCGGCGATCCGACGGTGACTGAAAAGATGTACGTGTGACACCGGTTATATGTGGCTTGCGCGTCGACAGATGGTATGTATTTAGACAACTTGTGATTGGTGGATATGAGGACAGGGAGACGACGTAGTGTAATGTCTTGCGAATGTTTGACATGTATGTCAAAGGATGAGCCCGCAAGAAGTTTTTCAAAGCCCTGGACAGTGATGGGTGTGATTCTAGGTTCTTCCATCAGAGCGACTGATTTATGGACGAGGTTTTGTAGAAAGAACTGAGAATGATCGCCAGATCGTTGGATCGTGCCATAGTTGTAATTTTGGCAAATGAGATTCAAAATCAGTGACTTACCCGTGGCTGTAGGACCCTCAAAACACAATGTGTTGATCCGAAGGAGCTTCTTATTCATGATGAGGTGGATAGACGTGCAGAACGTGTTTTAATTGATGTGATTGACGTGTAGCATGTTGTCAAAAAAAGAACGTACCTAGTGATGTAGGATGGGAGCAATGTTCTAGATGGTGGTTTTCTTGAATGTATTCCTCGAACGTCATGGACGTTTCAAGAGTGTGGAGTTCTTCGTTGTAGGCTTCTGTGCATTGTTTGGCCGTTTCTTGCCACTGAAGGCCAAATTCAGTGTAGTGTTAGTCGTTGGTTCTTGGTAAGGCGTAGTTGGAGGTCTTTTATATGCTTGGCTTGATGCGTTTCGATTAGATCCATAATGAGATGAACACGTTTAGATCGTTGTATGTTGGCGTGAGCGGCGCGCCGTGATTCTCTATTGATCGTAGCACAGTCCTTCTGGTCCTTGGGTGTCAGTGCGATACTATCGGCTAAGTGTTGGAGTTGTTTACCCAGAATAGTAAGTACGTAACCCGTTCTAGCAAGGTATGGAGCGAATCTTGACCAATCGATAACAGGTTGGATGGTAGTTAGAATATCAAAGATGAAACTATCGGATATTGAGCACGCATGAAGGATACACTGCAAGGAGCGGTTACGGTTCTGAGGAAGACATTGGAAAACAAATGCTAATGATCATCATGTTGTATTATAATGGCATTCACTTTATGACCTTTGAGAATAACAGGATCGGGACCTCTGTAGATAAAGGTCCATATTACTTATGAATGGAAGGATTTCGGTGAGTATTTTTGTTCGTCGCAATCAGCCGACACTTCAGCTATGTCGACCAGCTGTCCGGAAAAGCACCAGACGGCCGTTTCGCCCTATTGGGGCTCATCAGTGGTGCGCATCCTTCGGTCCTCTGCGGAGGATCGAACCCATGACTGCTAGTGGCTCTTGCCAACTAGTCCGCAGCTTAGACAACTGCGCCATGGAGGACGGTATCTGGCAAGAGCCACTAGCAGTCATGGGTTCGATCCTCCGCAGAAGACCGAAGGATGCGCACCACTGATGAGCCCCAATAGGGCGAAACGGCCGTCCGGTGCTTTTCCGGACAGCTGGTCGACATATCTGAATTGTCGGCTGATTGCGACGAACAAAAATACTCACCGAAATCCTTCTATTCATAAGTAATACCAATTCGCCCGTACGGATTCCACAAAATGCTATGTCGATTCATAGCTGCCGTAACCGGGAAGTCCTGACGCCGGAAGGCCGACCGCTGTCATCTGCATGGCAGGTGCCTGCATGGCAGTGGAGGATGGGTCGGGCTATATCGCATTTAGCTAACAATTCGTCATGGTCGGATACCGTCCTCCATGGCGCAGTTGCATAAGCTGCGGGCTAGTTGGCAAGAGCCACTAGCAGTCATGGGTTCGATCCTCCGCAGAGGACCGAAGGATGCGCACCACTGATGAGCCCCAATAGAGCGAAACGGCCGTCTGGTGCTTTTCCGGACAGCTGGTCGACATATCTGAATTGTCGGCTGATTGCGACGAACAAAAAGTCCATATGTTGTTTGTAGAGTTGATCATGTTTTGGATTTGTTGGAACAGTTGGTCGTTTTCGGAATGGTAAACAGGATCTTGGTTAGCCTCGATGTATGGTAGGTGTGTTAGATTCACATCATCGGTTGACGGTAGATTCTCGGTACTTGTTGATGGTAGTGGATTCGGAGGAGAGGAGGCAGGAACTGGCGAAGTTTTCGGAATGTCATCGATCATGAAAGATGGATGTTTATCGCTCGGTTCATCGGTGGGTTCTGAGTCTAAGTCTACGTTGTGTTCTTTAGCACGTTTGATGGCATGGACGATACGTGTGGTAGGTGATGGGGACCTATGGTCCGTGCACAGCACCCAACACCTGCCACAGAGTAAAATCTGAACACGGGAGGTGAGGGGTTTATTGAGAGGAGGGGACTATAAAAAATTAATACACTCCTCCCTCCACTCATCTCCACCTATGGTGGCACCTATACTGCTTCTATGCGGTAGATCCAGGCCAAAAGATTCGGAGGTTTGCAGGCAGATTTTCGAAAACTTTTTTGACCTTGATTTTCGTCGGTCTATCTATGATTGGTCAAAACATGCCATAAAAATACAGCCGTTTCGCCGTAAAACAATCATGCCGTTCACACAGCAACAGATTGCTAAGTTCGAGGCGATAAGGAAGAAGAACCAAGCTCTGGATCAATGACATCTGGACAAGAGCAACCTTTGGTTATTGCAGAGCAAGCAAAGCCAGCATGTAAACACAAGTTTTCGTCAACACTAAAAATATTGATTACCCCACCAACACGGCTGTTGAGGTGGGGACAATCATAGAAATTTTTTTCTGAGGAAGGATGGATGGAAGACTAGGTAAAACATTTTTGGTATCCACCTTGGCTTGGCAAAGTGAGAACAAGACATGGTGTAGTAGGAATATTTTATGCGTGTCTACGAAAGGTGGAAAATTGCAATTTGGTGTCATTGTAAGAGCCTTGCTGACATTCAACAGAGTTGGCAACGACCCGGTTTACACGGGAACCGTTGAGAACAAGGGACAAGTACCCATCTTGGGATGTGTAAAGTGTCATAGTGAGTTTGGTTTCAAGTATAACATGCCCCATCATTCGGAGAACATCCTCTGATGTGGAAACTGGCTCGATATATTATAGCGAGAACGACACGGTAGGGGGGGGGGACGCTGTTTATTGCACGCTGAGAGGTTCACGCACATGTCCCACGCACACACACAAATATAGCCGCGTTTCCCACTTACGACGCACCACGTTCCGCCGAGTGAAGTGGTGTCCACTAAGCGCCATTAGGTTGATCCGACGTGGATATTGAATGTGCCGTTTTCCGCCCACATTTCTGCTCCCTTGCGTCGCAGCCTATCCAGGCTGGATTCGTACCAAAGCTCTCGACTTGCTTGCTCGGGGCTGTGTTGCTCTGGTCGGGCCGATTCCTGGGGCCGTAGATAAAGGCATATCTCTTGGGAAAATCGTGCTCCCTTTCATGTCGCCTCTTGTTCTTCTCGGTGTGGCCGCGGTATCGTTTGTCGCTGACGACCCATTCCCGGCTTGCATCGTAGGCCACGAGCTAGGTTGACGACTCCCGTTCCCAGTCTCCGCGTTAGTCCCGATCTCCTGCTGCTTCCGGGGCCTTTCCGTGTGAACTGAGATCCGCGCCCCTACACCCGCCCCCTCTCGAAAACCTGTTTCCCTCGTATACCATGGGCGTAGAAGAGATGCGTTTACCCAGCGTTTCACCACCCCGTTGTCAATACGGCAGCTCGTCCCTTTTCGGTCGATCACTGTATAGGGACCTTTCCAGCGTTGGTTGAACTTGCTCGCGCCGGGTCCTTTGTGTGACGGTGGATCGTTATTGCGTAGCTTGACTTGGTCTCCTAGGTTGAATGGTCTCCATTTGTCTGCCGCATATCTCGCATCATAGTTCCGCTTGTTGCGTAATTGCCGAACCCTCGTTTTCCTTCTGGCGGTTGTTGTCAGCCTTCGGTGTTGTAGGGCTGGATGTTCGCGCTCGCAGTCGATTGCCAAATAGGTGTCGATTGCAATCCTTGGTTCTCTGCCAAATTGCAATGCAAACGGTGAAACCTTGGTGCTTGATTGCATGCTGATTCCATAAGCGAGCAGCACCTCCGGTAACGCTTCCTCCCACGGTAACTTTGTGCAGTTCATCCATGTTTTCAGAGTTCGGTTAAACCGTTCTGTCATCCCGTTGGTCTGCGGGTGGTAAGGCGAAGTGCGTTTTCTCCGGATGCCCTATTTGGCCAGCATGGCCTGAAACGCTTTTGATTCAAAGCACGGACCTTGGTCGGTGATAACGCTGTGCGGTATTCCGTACCTCGCCGGTACGTTGAATTCGAACGCCTGTGCCACGGTCTCGCCTGTTTGATCTTTAATTAGTATCGCTTCGACCCAACGAGTGAAATGATCAATCATCACCAGGATGTACGCGTTACCCGATCGGCTCAGCGGCAGCGGTCCAAATATGTCTGGTCCCCAGCAATGTACTGCCTCGCTGATTTCAATTGACTTCATTGGCGGTCTGGGTGCATCCATCTCACGGCTTGTTTGACAGTTTGGGCACCCCCGGATATATGCCACAACGTCCCTTCTCATGGTTGGCCAAAAGACTTGTCTCCGCAGCAAGTCAAAAACTCTCTCAAATCCCATGTGTGCGCTGTCATGGACGATTTGAATCACCCGCTCCCGTTGACTTTGTGGGATAAAAGGAAGTCTCATTCCGTTTGTCTGCACCAGCAAATTACCGTTTACTGTGCACAGCCTGTCCCAGATCCTGACGAGATCCTCCATTTCCCCCGATGTGGCATCCTGTTTGGTACCCAATTGTAAATGGCTACACATCGAATGCACCAGTTTATCCTTCCTTTGAATTTCGAGTAGCGTGTCCCGCCCAACTGTGACTGCACACACCGGTATAGCAGTGTCCGGTATGACGTCGTCCAACAACGGCCGCGACAGCATATCAGGTAGCACATTCTTCGTCCCATCCACGTGTCCGATGGTGAAGGTAAATTCTTGGAGTCGATATGCCCATCGTGCAAGATGTCCTCGCGGATCCTTCGTTGTCATCAACCATGAGAGCGGCTTGTGGTCCGTCAAGACGTGGAATTCATTCGCCAACAGGTATGTTCTCCACTTCTCCAGGGCCCATACCATAGCTAGACATTCCTTCTCTGTCCTTGAGTACTTCTGCTCGGCACTCGTCAGCACTCGATTGGCATATTCTACGACCGCCGATGGCTGGGAAAGTACCGCACCGATTGCGTCGTCGCTAGCATCAACTGCCACCGTAAATTTTTCACTCGGATTGGGTAACCGCAAGCACTTTGGAGATTCCGCCACGCATGTTTTGATGTGATTGAATGCTTCCTCTGCCTCGGTGGACCACACGAATGGTTGATCCTTCTGCAGCAACTTCAATAATGGACTGATGGTCTCTGCAAAATGAGGGACGAATTTTGAATCATATGCCACAACTCCCCGGAAGGAACGAAGCTGGCGTTTGGATTTAGGGGCTAGAAAATTCTGGATCGTTTCCCATTTCTCTGGCAGCGGCTGTATTTCACCGTTCCCCACGATGTGACCTAAGCACACGATCGACCTCTGGGCTATCTGTGATTTCTTACGGCTAAGCTTCAAACCGGCTTCCTCCAGTCGTTGTAGTACGGCCACGAGTCTGCTACAATGCTCATGTTCGGTCACGATGTCGTCTCCGTAAACTACCACTCCTTGGAGGTTTTCCAAAATCATCAGCAGCAGTCGTCTGAATGTGACGGGGGCATTGCATAACCCAAATGGCATTCTCAAAAATTCGTACTGCTGATCGTTTACACTAAAAGCTGTTTTGTGACGATCCTCCTCTGCAATGGGCAACTGCCAATATCCCGAGCGGAGGTCTATTAACGAGATCAGCTTGGCGTTGTGCAGACTGGAAAAAATTTCCTCCATCTGTGGCATCGGAAACGCATCCTTCACGGTTACTTTGTTCATTTCTCTGAAATCAATGCAGAATCGGTATGTACCGTCAGTTTTCCTTGTCAATAACACTGGCGACGAATACGGGCTGCTCGCGCGCGCCTAATAATGCCTTTTGCCTCCATCTGTGCTACTTGCCTCTGCACCTCAGGTAGGATCTTTGGCGGAATTCTCCTGAATATTGGCTTGCATCGTCCCCCTGGGACCAGCGGTATCCGATGTTCCATCCAGTTACAGAAGCCGTATTTGTCATTCGCGTCCGTGAACAAGTGCGTGGACCTCTCTAGCTTTTCCCGTATTGTACGACTTGAGCAATTAGGCAGAACAGATACGGCCCCAACTCGACCACTTTTTCCTGCGTTAAGGTTGATTGTTTCGCCGCCCAGGAAAATCACATCCTTTCCCAGATCAATTCTAGCGCCCACTCGTTTTAGGATATCATTACCGATTATTGTTTCCGTTTCACCCTCCACAACGAACATTAAATGGCTAATACACGTCTCTCCTATTCTCAATTGTAACCGTTACACGCCTGCTACCTTCAACTGATGGCCTCCGACCGTTTGCAACGAGACTGACATTTGGTCTAAGGGAACCGCATCACATCTTTTTGTAATTGACGCCCCCGCCCCTATATCTACTACCGCTCGAACTGGCACCCCCTGAATTATGACGTCTACCACAGGCACCCTCCTCTTATTAGGAATGAATAAGGAAAAACAATGAGAAAGGCTTGCGTTCGTGCAGTATCTAGCCAGATGGCCACTGCGGTTGCACCGAAAACAGCGACGGCCATTTCGGCTTCCGTAGACATTGCGTTGCGTTTCCATCCTTGGTGTGTTTCCCGACAATAAATTCTGCACCATCTGTGTCAGCTGGTCCACCTTGCGTTCAAGTTCCGACGGCTTGATTCTGGCCATGGTCAACGGCTCCGCCAAACTCTGCGCCACTGTCACAAGCTCCTCCGCCTTGACCACTCCGACCATCGGTGCCAGCTTCACTTGATCCTGGAGGGCTTTCGGCAGGCTCTGAATCCATTGTCCTTTCAATAGTCTTTCTTTGGCGGCCACATCTAATTCGGGTAGCCCAATCGTCAAGTTCCAATCCATTTTCTGGAAAAATGTCATCAAATCGTCCTGTTCTTCCCATTTTGCTGAGTGAAATTTTTCCAGTGCCTTCTGTCGGTCCATCTCCTTTGCAAACTCCGCGCACAACGCTGCCTTTACTTCGTTAAACGAGCACCCAGCTTTCGACTTCCGCGTCAGCAGGTACGTCGTTTTTGCTCTACCGGATAACAGCGTGCCCAAGGCCGTAAGCAGGTTTGCATCCCCTTTGAGTCCGTTGCAAGCCGCGATTCCTCCGAACTCATCCAACCAAGCCTCCGCGTCTCCCTCCGAAAATTGAGCAGGCCACGGCACTTTCATCCTGGTCACGGCACCAGTTGTAGCGAGAACGACACGGTAGGGGGGGGGGACGCTGTTTATTGCACGCTGAGAGGTTCACGCACATGTCCCACGCACACACACAAATATAGCCGCGTTTCCCACTTACGACGCACCACGTTCCGCCGAGTGAAGTGGTGTCCACTAAGCGCCATTAGGTTGATCCGACGTGGACATTGAATGTGCCGTTTTCCGCCCACATTTCTGCTCCCTTGCGTCGCAGCCTATCCAGGCTGGATTCGTACCAAAGCTCTCGACTTGCTTGCTCGGGGCTGTGTTGCTCTGGTCGGGCCGATTCCTGGGGCCGTAGATAAAGGCATATCTCTTGGGAAAATCGTGCTCCCTTTCATGTCGCCTCTTGTTCTTCTCGGTGTGGCCGCGGTATCGTTTGTCGCTGACGACCCATTCCCGGCTTGCATCGTAGGCCACGAGCTAGGTTGACGACTCCCGTTCCCAGTCTCCGCGTTAGTCCCGATCTCCTGCTGCTTCCGGGGCCTTTCCGTGTGAACTGAGATCCGCGCCCCTACAATATGGGAGAAAAAGGAAAATGGGGTTCATAGTGTGGTCGTAAATCCCATAGGAGAAATCAGGGATGTTTTTGATTTCCGATTCAACACTGATTGTGTAAGGTATGTCGTCTCGTTTCCAATGGGGATTGTACTCGGAGATGGCGTAGTCACCAGGCATATAGTTGAAACCGGATGTGACGTTGTATGGAGTGCGTTTGAAGAAGCGTTTGTGATCATCGAAGGCATAGTGTTTGGTATATACATCGCCAGCGGTGAAGACATGAACGTTGTTGCAATTGAGAAGGCCAGAATCAGAAGAGGTAGACCAAAAGTCAGAGGATTTGACTTTACAATCTTGATTAAGGAGGGCTTGTTCGGTGACTGGTGTATTTACAAAATTTATGTGGCCATCGTCGTCCTCCGCGATATACATGTACGGCGCATTGTTAAAGGAGGTAATGTCCGTCGCAGTAGTCGCTTGTAGTGATTTCTGAGGAGGTATAAAATTAGACAGACGAATGGTAGCATGATGAAAGACACAGAATGGGAAGGTATCACGCAGGGTCGCAAAGGGTTGTAAACACTGTTGATCTCAGCAGAGGTTCCAGAACTCAAACGTGGAAAGAGGGAGGCAAGTGATGGCATAAGTAGCGGTGGAGTCTCCTGGTTTGTATTGATTAACGGTGATATGATTGCGTCTTGTGAGTGTAACTTTGGTAGTGTAGTATCTTGGTCGTAGAAGGCGTAGTCGCCTAGCTGTTGTAAGTCATGTCTCACCGGGGCCCTCATCTTCGTCCGTCTGATCGAGATGCATACGCTTCCCACCAGCAGCCATACCAATGTGAGAAAAAGCGAGCGCAGAATGTTATCGGTGGTTCGGGTAATTCTGGCGACTCCACTGGTATACTGAAGGCAAATGTTTTGCATCTCTTATATATGGCATCGGCATCGATGTTATTGATGTACATTCCGAGCGTGTGATTGGTTGAAATTAATACAGGCAGGCGTTCGAGGTCTACATCCGGTGAGTGTTTGACGTGAATGGTGAATGGTAAGCCGCCAAGTAATTCTCTAAAATCATTAACAGTAATGAGCGTGATACGTGGCTCTTCCATTAAAGCGACAGATTTATCGACCAGATTTTGCAGAAAGAACTGGGACTGGTCGCCGCTACGTTGAACAGTACCATAGTTGTAATTTTGACAAATCATTTTAAGTATTAAAGACTTGCCTGTAGTCGAGAGCCCTTCGATGCACAAGGTGTTGATGCGCGTAAGTTTTTTCTTCATAACGAGATGTGTGGCTTCACGGAATGTGTCCTTGTCGATATTGTTGACACGCAAGAGATTGTCGAAGAAGGGAGTGGTCGGATCGGAAGGATGTGTACAATTTTTTAAATGATGGTTGGTCTTGATATATTCCTCGAAGGTCATTGACTGTTGAAGGTTCGTAATCTCCTCGTTGTATGTTTCTACGCATAGTTTCGCAGTTTCTTCTCATTGCAATCCAAACTCCCGGTAAATGGATAGTTTATGCGGGCGAGTCAAGTTCTTCTTGAGCTGTTTAATATGTGTCGAATGATAGGTTTCAATCAAATCCATAATCAGGTCGATGCGTTTGCCTCTAATGACGTTGGTGTGCATTTGCTTACGAGACTCCCTGTTGATGGTTGCGCAATCTTTCTGATCAGGAGGTGTTAGCGCAATCTGGTCAGCCAGGTGTTGAAACTTCCTGCCCAGTAACTGAACGGTATAGCCTGTACGGGATAGATATACGGCTAATTTATCCCAATCAATTACAGGTTGTATGGTTGTTAGTATGTCGAACGTGAAGCTATCAGGTATAGAGCAAGCCTTTAACAAACGTTGCAACGACCTGTTACAATTCGTAGGAGTAGACTGAAAAACAAAGTAGTAGTGGTCGGTATGATGTATTTATCAAAGCATTCACATGCGTTCTTTTAATAAACACTGGCGGTAGACCTCTGTAGATGAATGTCCATAACGTGCTGTCCGTGTTGAACTCTGACTTTATCGTTTCATACAAGGTATCGGTATCACGTGCAGGTTGTTCTTTCGGTATGTCTTCAGCGCTAGTGCTAGCCGCAATCATATCTTCTACTTGTAACGGTGTAATAGGCTCGAAATCTAAATCGACATTGAAATCCAAATCTACAATAGGAGATGTAGTCTTTGGTTGAAAAGGTGTTTCTAAAATGTCATCAATGAAATGAGTTAGCTTGGGCATCTTGTGAGGTATATCAGGTGAAGCATGTCTTTTTCGGGAGGTGGGCGGTATCCTGTCTTGTACAGAGTGTTTAATCTCTGTCTGTTGAACAGGTAGCGGTGATGGTGATCGTTTTCTTGATTCAGGTGTATGGATAGATGGTACGGGTTGAAAGTACGTGGTAGAGGTACACGATGTCAACCAAGAGTCGTAAGCAGTTGGGTTGTAGTGTCGAAGTTTTTCTGCTTGAATCCATTGTGGATAACTCATAGGAAAGTTATACTTTGGTAAGTCAGGCTTGAAGACTTGATAACGTTCTTCAAATGATAGCGTAGCAAGAGATGGTGGTAGTGGTATAGAGATCTCCTTCATCTTTTGAATAGCGCAGAAACGTCGAACTTGATCCGAAGTAACCGGCATGGTAATGGAAGAATGGAGAAGAATGGTAAATTTATAGGTAGTGTGTGAAGGTTGCCATAAGCTCATTGGTTGATTGTGTGATTGGTTTAGCTGAAGGTCGTAAGAAAGTTTCTCTTGATCCACTTCATTCCTTCCTCCGCAAGACTACTAAAAATAACCCTATATTGTCCTTTCCTAATGGATGTTTTCCGGATGGATGGTCCAAATTTTTTTTACATGTCAGCTATGCAACCTTTGGTTATTGCATAGCAAGCAAAGCCAGACATGTAAACAACTTTTTGAGTCATAGTCCAATTTTACTACAACCCCACCCGACACGTCTGTTGAGAAGCGAACAATCAGAGAAATTTTTTGTGGAAGGATGGAGTGGAAGAGTACCTAAACTTTTTGTCTATCCACGTAGGCTTGGCAGTGAGAACAAGACATGGTGTGGTAGGAAGAGTTTATGCGTGGCGACGAAATGTAGAAAATTGTAAAGTAGTATCGGTATAAGAGCCTTGTGGTAATTATACAGAGTTGGCGTTGAGCCAGTTGACTTGGGAGCCTTTAGGGATAAGGGAGAGATAACCGTCTTGGGGGGGAAAAGAGAGTCATGGTGAGTTGGGTTTCGAGGAGGACATAGGCCATCATACGTACGATATCTTCAGAGGAAGAAACGGGTTCGATGTAGGGAAGGAAAAGGAAAATGGGGTTCATGGTGTGATCATAACTACCGTATGCGAAATCGGGAATTTGGTTAATGTCGGGATCAACGTTAATTTGAAAATGGATACCGTCGCGTTTCCACAAGGGATTGTATTCAGAGACGGCATAGTCTCCTGACATGTAATTGAAGCCTTGGACGACATTGTAAGGGGTACGTATAAAGAAACGTTTGTGGTCGTCAAAGCGCAATTTTTGGTATAAACATCACCAGCGGTAAAGGTTTGAATGTTATTGCAGGCAAGTAGGCCAGGATTAGAAGATGTGGTCCAAAATTCAGAAGAGGCAACTTTGCAGTCTTGATTTAGAAGAGCCTGTTCGGTGACACGAGTGGTAACGTAGTTGATGCAACCGTCATCATCCTCGGCAATATACATATAGGGCGCGTTATTGAAGGACGTCACATCCGTAGCAGTGTTCGCCTGTAGCGACTTTTGCAGAAGGTGATGAAGGAAGGAAGCACGTTGCATCTGTTTTAGATGTAACCTAGAAGTCCCGCCGAACTTGGATAAGAAGATTAGAATCGCACAAACAGAGAGGAAAACATGGCGGGCCACGTCGAAAGTCGCTGACTGAGTCACCTAGACAGTCTGGTGGAATGGGTTGAAACGGAACCGATGGTTACATTAGAAACTCTTCGTTTCCGCTTCAGGGTGGAATTCGAGGTGGAGGTGCGCGTCAGTACCGTTGCTAGACACTTAGACGGATCCCACATAACAATGGAAAAGCTGCATTCAATACAAGAGTCCATGAATACGCTGGAGAACAATAAACGAATGAAATCTTACGTTCTGCGAATGATGAATCTGGAAGTCGAAGGTTACAAAGCAGTTTGGTTTGATGAAACGAACTTCAACCTGTTGGTGCTCGCACAAGGGGGCGTTCAGCATGTGGCTGCCGTGCGCAGTGTACGGTCGCGAGTGCTCGTGGACAAAATCTACATCTTGTCAACGCGATGACTGCAGATGCACTTCTGGGGTATTCTGTCCTAAGAGGCAATTACAACAAAGAGAGATGCTGTCGGTGGTTGCGTCAAATGTTTGATGGCAACGACGCGGCTGTTACTAATAAGTGCCTGCTTATATGTGACAACGCACCGTGCCACACTGATCTGGAACGCGCTATCCAGGAAGTACCTTACCCATCCGGAAGACATCTGCGACTTGTACCGGAACATGTAATTAATGCACCCACCATATCCCTTTTCAAAAAACGCCTTGACAATACTGTCACATTTACACTACGTGCTACAGCCCATGACCACCAGATGCTGGGACTAATGCACAACAGACAGGGGATAGCATGTCGGCTGTTTGCTACGCAATAACCAAACGTTGCATAGCCAACATGTAAAAAGTTTTTTGGATTATTCCGGAGGGAACAAACCGTGAAGAAAGGACAATACAGCGTTATTTTTACAAACGTCGCTGAGGACGAAAGGAAGCAAACTTAGAGCAACTTTCTTGCGTCCTTCAGCTCAACCAGTCACATGCAACAACCAATAAGCTTATGGCAACCTTCACACACAGCCTATAAATTTATCACTCTTCTCCTCCATTACGATGCCTGCGACTGCTGACCAGCTCCTTCGTATCTATGCTATTCAGAAGATGAAGGAGCACACTATACCTCTACCACCGCATCTGACGACACTATCTTTCGACGAACAATACCTAGTGTTCAAGTCGGATCAGAAAAAGTTTACCTTTCCAATGTCGTACCCACACTGGATCCAGTCTGAAAAACTTCGACATTACAATCCTACTGTTTACGATACTTGGCTGCAATCCTGTACCACAACCAAATACTTTCAACCAGTACCACCGATTAACTTACCATCTACATCTCGTAAACGTCAAGCGTCACCTGAACCTCAACCAGAACCAAAGTAGCTTAAACACTCTATCGAGGAACTGACTACATCTCGTAAACACAAGACATCACCAGAACCTGAACACAAGATGCCTAAACTGGCGCATTTTATCGACGGTATTTTGGCTACACCTTTTCAACCAAAACCTCAATCACCTACCGTTGATCTAGATTTCATTGTGGATCTCGATTTTCAGCCCATTACTCCTATTGAACTAACCAATATGATTGAGGCAACAACTACCCCTGAACATATACCAAAAGAACAACCTGATCTAGACACAGACACCCTCTTTGAAACCATCAAGTCCGAGTTCAACACTGACAGCAAGCTATGGACCTTTATATATCGCGGACCTCCTCCAGTTTTCACTAAAGATACTCATGTTAACGCGTTGATTACACATCATACCGATCATTATCATTTTGTTTTTCAATCCTCTCCCACTAACCGTAATCGGTCGTTACAACGGTTGCTTAAAGCTTGCTCCATACCAGATTCCTTCACGTTTGATATACTCACCACCATTCAACCAGTCATCGACTGAGACAAGCTTTCCGTATATCTATCACATACCGGGTACACCGTACAGCACTTGGGCACTAAATTCAAAGATCTCGCTGACCAAATTGCTCTCACACTGCCAGATCAAAAAGATTGCGCCACCGTAAACCGTGAGTCCCGTAAACAGATACGCACAAACATCAACCTGGGAAAACGTATCGATTTGCTAATGGACCTCATTGAAACATATCACTCGACGCATATTAAACAATTGTAAAGAGCCTCAAAAGCTATCTATTTACCGCGAGTTTGGCCTACAGTGGGAGGAAACCGCTAAACTATGCATCGAGACTTATAATGAGGAAATAACCAACCATCAACAATCCATGACTTTTGAAGAGTACATTAAAACCAACCATCACCTAAAATATTGTACTCATCCTTCCAATCCATCCACTCCGTTCTTCGACAACCTGTTACGCGTAAACAATATCGACAAGAATGACTTTTGCAATGCCAACCATCTCATGAATAAGAAACTCAACCGCATCAACACCATCTGCATCGAGTGGCCTTCCACTACTGGTAAATCTCTCATGCTCAAGCTTATCTGCCAGAATTATAACTATGGTACTGTACAACGCAGCAGCGACCACTCGCAGTTTTTCCTACAAAACCTTGTGGATAAATCTGTGGCTCTCATGGGAGAGCCACGCATTACACCAATTACTGTAAACGACTTTAAAGAGCTCCTGGGTGGATCATCTATCACTATACACCGTTAACACTCCCAAGACGTGGACTATGAACGAATACCCGTTCTCATCTCGACCAATCACACTCTAGGCATGTACATCAACAATATCCATGCCGTAGCTATATATAAACGGTGCAAAACCTTTTCCTTCACTGTGCCTGTTAGATCGCCAGAACTGCCGGAGCCTTCGTCAACATTCTGTGCCTGCCATTTCTCACACTGGTATGGCTCTTGGTGGGAAACGAATGCATCTCGATCCGACGGAGGACGATGAAGGACCTGGTGAAACAGGCGTCGCTACTGCTAAACGACTCAGACTTCTACGACACAGATACTTTTCCACCAAAGTTACACTCATACGATGAAACCACATCACAGTCAACCAATACAAACCTGGAGATTCCACTGCCACTTACTCCATTACTTGCCTCCCTGTATCCACATTTGAGTTTTGGAGTCTCTACAAGGACCAACAATATCTCCAACCCTTTGCCTCCATGCGTGATACTTTCCCCTTTTGTGTGTGTGTGTGTGCCACAATTAACTTCAACCAGATTATCCAGCGTCTCCGTGTTGTACTTTGTCAAACGGTAAGGGCGTTGAGAGGGTCCATCCACTCACATACACACCATACGGCGCATCACTCCCAGACACACTGCATGTATGTAATCAATGGGAAATGCCTCCACCATGTCAATACGGATTGGTACGACAGGAGACGGTGAGTCACACTGCCTTGCTCGGATGGATACGTTCGTGCGTTTCCTACACTGTGTTTGGGGGAAAGTTACCTTTCCACTAATATAGATACCGTGTTGAACACACATATGACAGACGCCATAACCCGAGTGACTTTTGCTTTTAGTGATGTAAGCTCGTGCAGGTGAGCCGCAAACAATTGCGGATACCTACGTATCCGTAACTGTCGTTTCGTCCGTTAACCGCAAGCGCGTGTTTTGTAACTGAAGCAGCTCTGCAAGCAAATGTTCCAAGGATGAATGTACATCATCCGGTTTTCTAGGCCCGCTGTGCAGACCCATGAGGAATGGCTGAGAGACGATTGGAATCACACAACGACATAGGCCACACCACGCCTGTGTCTGTGAAGACGTGAAAGACGAGAATCCATCGATGTGAACCTGAATGCGTGTTTAAGAGGTTCCTTGCAAGCAGGTAGCGCGCCATGCATTCTGCAACCCGCGTATAAGCCCGACGTGCCCACACGTTCCTGGTTCCACTCTTGACGTACTCATGAGTAGTCTCGCCAACGTGGAGCACAATGTCCGATGACCGGAAAGTAACTCGTTTAAGGTAGTAATACGTGGCTGATTTCTTACAATCCATTCATGAATGAAAACGCGCATGGGACATTGATCGTCCGTCTGCGATGTAGAAAACTGTTCTTTTTCCCCAATTTCGGATAATTCTATACTAAAAGTGGTAGACAACATTTTATGCCGTATGCTTTCGAATTATATGCGCTGTACACTAAGTTCCTTGACGGTCAGCATGTCTCATAAGCGGCGGTGAATCGAGCATACGCAAACGAAGGGGATGCGAAATTGACCAGCAAGGGATTTAGCACAAGGTGTGCAGCGACCAGGAGCGATTACGCTACACGAGACTGGGTGGGTCGTTTCACACTGTCAGGAAGCAACCTGAACTCCTTGTCAATGTGAAAATAAACAGCAAATATCTTAAGGCAATAGCAGGAAGTCGGGCGCATGTAACTGCCAGCATAATGAAGTCATTTCTCAACACCTGTAACTCACCGATTTCTCAATCATCATAGCTATTAAAATGAAAAGGCTGTAGTGTGAACAATTGCGTTTTTGTTTGGCAGAAACTGTACTATGTGTAGTTATCTTCTCACAGATCCATAAAGTTGTTGAGATCCACTGTTTCTACCTTCTGAAAGAGATGATGTAGGCGTGTAGCATGCTAACTTACGTTCCAGGAACTGGATCCTCCATTCCGTTTTGCTCAGCCCACGAGATGGATCTCCTCGAAGCATTTCGGAGTATCGATGCTTCATGGCTTTTTTCACATAGGACTTGATGACACTCCGTATACCTTCAACTCGGTTCAGTGCAGGCGAATGCGGTGCAAGTCGCAGGTGTCTTCCGGATGGGTAAGATGCTTCCTGGATAGCGCGTTTCAGATCAGTGTGGCACGGTGCGTTGTCACATATAAGCAGGCACTTATTAGTAACAGCCGCGCCGTTGCCATCAAACATTTGACGCAACCACCGACAGCATCTCTCTTTGTTGTAATTGCCTCTTAGGACAGAATACCCCAGAAGTGCATCTGCAGTCATCGCACTGACAAGATGTAGATTTTGTCCACGAGCACTCGCGACCGTACACTGCTCACGGCAGCCACGTGCTGAACGCCCCCTTGTGCGTGCACCAACAGGTTGAAGTTCGTTTCATCAAACCAAACTGCTTTGTAACCTTCGGCTTCCAGATTCATCATTCGCAGAACGTAAGGTTTCCTTCGCTTATTGTTCTCCAGCGTATTCATGGACTCTTGTATTGAATGCAGCTTTTTCATTGTTATGAGGCGACCATCTAAGTATCTAGCAACGGTACTGACGCGCACCTCCACCTCGAATTCCACCCTCAACCGGAAACGAAGAGTTTCTAATGTAACCGTCCGTTCCGCTTCAATCCATTCCACCAGACTATCTAGGTGACTCAGTCAGCGACTTTCGACGTGCCCCGCCATGTTTTCCTCTGTGTTCGGCGATCTTTTATCAAGTTCGGCAGGTCTTCTAGTTTACATCTAGAATAGATGCAACGTGCTTCCAATCATCACCTTCTTCATAGGTACTCAGTATTCTGACTTTTACTTCTGCCGAATGGCGCATGTGTCTGCCTTCTCCTACCGTAGTGCACAGGCTAGTTATTGATTTATTTTCAGTCGCCGGTTTACAATATCGCACTCGTATAATAAGAAAACAATAGCATTAGAAAGGATAAAAAAGCGAGGCAAATTATAGTTCATTCATTTCAAGATTCTTGCCAAACAGGTCACTCTTCGTCATTGTAACTCGTCTTCCAGATGGTTCACTTTTCTTTTTTATCCATCAGGGTATTGATACCATCTTTCTGGCTCATTACGCTCTCGCCATAAGTAAGACCACGGGTCCCACGACCACGGCGGATATTGGGCTGCGATGTGAACGGTAAGAGCAACGTGAGGGTGCCGTGGCGGCCCGTGTGACGGGAACCGGGTAGCCTGGGTTGGAGAAGATACCAGCAATTAAGAGAACCAACCAAAAAAGATCCGTCAACAATTGTAACCAGCAAGTGAGACGCCAAGGGCGTTACTGCTACTCCACCTGCTGTCTCATCGGCATCAGGCCTCCCAATTGGGTTTCTGCCATCCGCTTCATATAGTCCTCCATTGGACCAGGAACATAAAGAGAAAGTGAACGATCATGCGCCGCGCATATACGCATCGTAACACTTCAGCGAACCAGTTGCCGACTGTTTACCTCTGGATGAACAGCTGTTTTACTAAACAGGCTTCTGATTGGTTAAAAAAATGCGACCATAATGTGATCTATTCACGTTTACCCCCTGAGTAAACAGCTGTTTCGTTAACACGCCTACAAGCTGTAAAGCGTTCAGGTCGCATATTCGTTTCCCCCTCATTGCCTTTAACAACGACTGTAGCAGCTACCAGAGGCCTGCGGAACTGTAGATGTTCAATATTGATGGCTAGAGCAATATATAAACATGTAAGGAGAATCAACTCCTTTATTATGTGATCTCGCAAAGCTACGCAAACATTTGCAGCTCGCAACTCGAACACAGAATATCGAAGGTGTATAGTATTTTTGCCATTCGCAAAGATAAATGTGTTTC